TCATTTATATCTCATTCATCTTCACAATATGTTTGAGTAGCATAATGATACTAATGTTTCTTAAGTGAGTCACAGAATGGTAAAATAGTTTGTGGCATCAGCTTGCAGGCATTTTTTTTTTGAACTTTGAGAAGTAAGCTATTATGGTCATGTATAAAGCAACCTTTCTTCTCTGCATTGATTCTATTTTGTGGGTCAGTATAACAGCTTTAGCATCACTGTTTTTAAGGAAATTGTGATGGTTTATTGTTTTTATTTTCTTTTTGAGATGTGAACTGTCATGATCAATTTTAGTCTAAAACTTTTGGGGGGGGAGGTTTATTAATATGTGTGTGTGTGTGTGTGTTTGTAGTAGGTGATAATCTTTGGCTTTGGTTTTTAACAAGAATTAAAAAAAATTCAATTACAACTAGGGAACTTTTCTTCCAGTTTTTACTCAGTTGTTTTTCATTCCCTTTGGAAATAGTGGACCTGACCCAGTTCTTTTTTGAGAATTCCTTTCACAGAACAGTGTGTTAAAATATTTTTGTCCTTCTAATCAAGTACAATGTAAGAACTGGCAGGCATCCATAGCTTCTGTTCTTTAACATGAGAATAATTCTATTCCTTGATTAAGATACTGGCTCCATTATTATACTTACTAGTTTGGATAGCAGGGTATGATTTGAGGAACATAGCTATTTCATACATAAAATAAGTGCTTTTTCTCTACAAGCATTTTTTAATCCTGATTTTGTTAGTCATATAACTTTCTAACAGTGATCTTTGAAGTATATAATGGTTTGGTAAAAGAAGAATACCATAGATACTGGAAATGAAATTTATTGTTGAATAAAATTTAGATTATTATAAAATCCAGCATGACTTTATTGCTATATCAGGATAATCTTAAAAAGTTGATCCTTCTACCTTCACTTGTTTGATTTAGTATGTGTGTGAGTCTTAGCAAATTGACATTTAGTTTGAAAATTAATTTTAGCTAAGTTATGGCTGAGAGATAAAATATGTATTGGATTAACTCTTAATGATTATACCCTGAAAGTATTATAGAAATAAACATTGAGAACCCTTTATAATACGTAATGGTAGATTTCTATGATAATGTTCTGGATGTTTAAAATACAGTGCTGTTGTTCTTTTCCTGTAGTTGATTAGAAAAAAACTATAATTTGGGGGGAATAGAGTGGAAAAGAGAAAGGATGGGGAAAATTGAGGAGGGTGGAGTATGTTAGTTTCAGAGGGCTGCCATAACAAAGTACCACCAACAAAGTTCCTGTGGCTTAAAACAACAGGAATTTATTCTCTCACAGTTCCAGAGGTTACAAGTCTGAAACTGAGGTGCTGACAGGGTTGTGTTCTGTCTGAAGGCTCTGGTGGGAAGGATCCTTCCTTGCCTCTTGCTCGCTTTGGGTGGTTGTCTGCAGTCCTTGGCTTGTAGACACATCACTCCAGTCTTTGCCTCCATGGTCGCATGGCATTCTCCCTGTGTATCTCTGTCCAAATTTCCCTCTTTTTATAAGGATACCAGTCATATTGGATATAGGTTTAGGGCCCATCCTAATCCATCATGACCTCATCTTAACTTGATACATCTGCAAAGCCCCTGTTTCCAAATAGGGTCACATTCATGGGTTTTGGATGGATGTAAATTTGGTGGGACACAATTTAAGCCAGAACAGAGAGTTCTAAATTCAATTTTTATTTTGAGATTTAAACCAACACACTAGATTTATCTACTTTATATAAAGCAAGTAAGATACATTTTAAGTAGAAAACTTATTTTTATTTGCAGTTATATTCACACATATGCTTTCCTACTGCACAGGCCTAGGTACCTAGTATTTTCCATTCATGTAGCAGAAATTGCATTAAAGGACTATTTGGTTATGAAACATCTATTTATATAGATGTGGAACTAGAAGACTTTCCACATTACCTCTTAATAGCCTAATATTTATAGAACCAAGTTAGACTTTTCTTGAGTGTTTTAACTGCATTAGAATAATACTTTTGTTCTTATTTGTTTTATATCCACAGTGCCTGATGCTGATTTATTGAGTGAAGAATGAATTAATGAAAGAATGGTGGTGTGTGTGTGTGTGTGTGTGTGTGTGCGTGCGTGCGCATGTATGCGTGCATGCGCACGTTCATTGAAGGGTTGTCAACAGAGACGTGATATGAGGAGTTTTCATTTAGTAAATATATTCTCTCTTCACACACTGTTCTGCACTTTGCTTTTATTATAGTATATCATTCCATATTAGTGTAAAAATGCTATGATTACATAATATTCCATTGCATGGATATATTATAATTTATTTAACTAGTCTCTCTTTTTATTTTTGTGACAAAAGACACATAACATAAAATTTACCACCTTAACCATTTTTAAGTGTCAGTATTGTTAAGTATATTCACATTATTGTGTAACCAATCTCCAAAACTTTTTCATTTTTTTTTTTTTTTTGCGGTACGCGGGCTTCACTGTTGTGGCCTCTCCCGTTGCGGAGCACAGGCTCCGGACGCGCAGACCCAGTGGCCATGGCTCACGGGCCCAGCCTCTCCGCGGCATGTGGGATCTTCCCGGACCGGGGCACGAACCCGTGTCCCCTGCATCGGCAGGCGGACTCTCAACCACTGCGCCACCAGGGAAGCCCTAAAACTTTTTCATTTTACAAAACCAAAACTCCATACTAATTAAACAACTCCCCAGTTTTCCCTCCTGTCAACGACCATTTTAGAAATTTCTGTGAATTTGAGCTAGTCTCTCTTTTTAGTTTTCATCTTTGCTCTTATAAACAATGCTGCAATAAACAGCTTTGCGTATGTGTCATTTTACACATGAATAAGTATATCTGTAAGATGAATTCCTAGAAATGGAATTGCTAGGTAGAAGGATTTTCACATTTCTTAGTTCTGATATATATATCGCCAAATTGACTTTCAAAAGTCTTGTACCAATTTATACTCCCCCTGCTCCCACACAGTGTATATCAGCTATTCAAGTATGTTTCAGTAAAGTTAGCTTGTCAGCTAAACTTCACTGGCAACTTGGGAGAGGAAAGCCCGCTGTGAAGGAAAGTTGGTGTTGCTGGGCTGTCCCCAGTGTTCTACGTCTATTCCTTAAGGATTACTTGACATCTGTAATGTAGTTTCCATTCTGCACTCATTTTAAAAACTTAAAAACTGGGCTTCCCTGGTGGCGCAGTGGTTGGGAGTCCACCTGCCGATGCAGGGGACATGGGTTCGTGCCCCGGTCTGGGAGGATCCCACATGCCGCGGAGCTGCTGGGCCCATGAGCCATGGCCGCTGGGCCTGCGTGTCCGGAGCCTGTGCTCCGCAGCAGGAGAGGCCACAACAGTGAGAGGCCCGCGTACTGCCAAAAAAAAAAAAAACAAAACTTAAAAACTTTCACCATACAGTGTAAGCTATTTGTGTATTAGTAGTAACTTCTGAGAGAATGACTGGAATACCTCACTTTGCAGGTAGGTACCACAACTGAATATATGTTCAGCCCAGCTGAAATTCCCTTAATACAAATCTTTAAGATCTTTAAAATGAATGCATAGATGCCTTGCTTTAATGGCTGGTTTGTTTGGGGTTTTTTTTTGCTGCATTGGGTCTTCCGTGCTGCGCATGGGCTCTCTAGTTGCGGCGAGTGGGGGCTTCTCTTGTTGCAGAGCACAGGCTCTGGGCGCGGGGGCTTCAGTAGTTGTAGCACGCAGGCTCAGTAGTTGTGGCTCGCGGGCTTTAGAGCGCAGGCTCGGTAGTTGTGACGCACGGGCTTAGTGGCTCCGTAACATGTGGGATCTACCCAGACCAAAGCTCGAACCCATTTCCCCTGAATTGGCAGGCAGATTGTTAACCACTGCGCCACCAGGGAAGCCCTTAAATGGCTTTTAATAAAAAGAAAAAATTAACAGAACTCTTTTCTCAAATGAACTCTTATGAGGAGCTCCGCTGTATTGGGGTGACAGTGAAAGGTGACTGTGAAGGAGGGAGGCTGGCAGAGGTAAAGCAGGTGAGCAACAGGTCTCCCATCCCTATTTCATCCAGAACTATTACACACAGGTGACTCAACTTCTTTCCTTATAGCAGTGAGTGAGATGAGTGAATGCTAACATATATTCAGCCTCTGGTAATTCACGTCAGACATTTGAGGAACCTAGAACCTTCTTTGTAGAGTCCTGATGTTTGACACTGATGCTCCGTTTTATTTTTTTTGCGTGTAGTAAATTTGGTATAAAATGAGGCATAACTACCTGGAGATATCACTGTTTTCCTTAAAGTGTACATATAGGCTTTGGTGCATTGACTTTTCATCTGGAGATTTTTAATAAATGTAACATCCTTAATTAGTTTTCTTGTAAAATGAAAATGCTTACACATTTTATAATATTTGCATATTTTATTATAAAGTAGAATTTAAGGGGGCTTTGGGAACCACCTCCCAATGATGATCAGTATTAAGTTTTGAATTCATTTCCTCAGACTTTTTTCAATGTATTAAGTTGCATGTAAATTTTATTCCTTCTTTGAAAAGATGGGATTATATTATATATACTGTTTTGTGGTATGTTTTGTTTACTTGATAAAAAGTCCTTTTGGGTTAGTGTATAGAGATATCCTCCATTCTTTTAATGGGTTTATACTCTTCCATTATATAAAAGTTATCCATTCCCCTGTTGGTGAACGTGTAAGTTGCAATAAATATCCTTTGTGCATATCTTTGCCTGTTTGGACAAATGCTTCTATAGGATAAACTCTTAAATAGAATTTCTAAATCAAAGGTATGGCCGTTTTACATTTTAACGGATATTTTGGGTCTCTATAAAATATGAACATCCTGACTTTTATAGGAAATAAACTTAGTTCTAAACTTTTAGAAGTTTTAGCTAAGTGATGTATCATCATTAATGTGCACCAGTGTTTCTAATATAACTCTCCTGGAAAGGTATAAGTTTTTTAAATGACAGCTTTGAAACTTTTTGTTCTTACAGTGATGGAATGGGGGGAAGATATTAAAGCAATTTCAAAAGATGAAGCAGTAATGTTGGTGAATCATCAGGCAACAGGAGATGTGTGTACCTTGATGATGTGCCTCCAGGACAAAGGACTGGTAAGCCATCCTGAAGGCAGGGATAGACTGCAGAAAGGGGAGGTTAACAGAGAATCAGTTTACGGATCTTACCACAGTTGGGAATGTAGACTTACACTTTAATATGTATACTTTTCATGAAAATTTAGAAAAATTTAAAAAGAGAAATATACTATGTATATAACTCTAAATTATTCTAAGAGAGGAATTTACAGACCTAAAGAAAAATAACTGGGATAATGTGGATTATATCTCCACGAAGCTGTTTTTTAAAAAAGGTAACTGAAATGGAAGCAAAGTTAATATGGTTCAGCATGGGGCTGTCTTGAGGTGAGTGGTGGATTGCCAGTTTGAGAAATACAAACACAAAAAGCAGTTTGCTTAAGATAGAAGAGTAAAATTGGACAGGGAATTAGGTGATCTTGGGGATCTTTAGCCAGAAGAAAGTAAGGTAAATATTATTTTGGATTTCACTTAGAAAGCAAATTGAAAGGAAAGATATTAGGGCCATTTTATTCAGTGTTCTCAGGCTGTGTTTCAACTGTTGATTTCACATTGCTTATATTGCTAACTAAAACATACCTGTAAACTAGGAGGGTTTAAAATAAAGTCAGTCCTTAACATTAAAAGAATTGTTACCTTAAGAGTAGGTAAAGCGGTTATGTTCATAGAAAAGTAAATAAATAGAAAATATATAAAATTAATGGAATTAATATTTGGCCTAATAGTGAAGAAACGAATCAATAGGTATTTTATAAGTGTTTCATATTCATGGTCACTGACTATAAATATAGAAGACCGTCCTATAAGATACTATCCCCTTAAAGCAACTAATAATCTAGTGGTAGGTGGAGAGAGGGAATAGCAAACAATACTTAATTGCAAAGTGAGAAATATTCAGTGGAAAGTGAGCTCACCATGTACCTGGTGGAAATAGAAAACTTTGTGGAGGGGAGAGGATGTAAACTTGACCTTGAAGGGTGAGTAGAATTTAGTTAGGCAGAGTAGTGAAGCAAGGGCCTCTTTAGTGAAATAATCTTGGCCAAAACACTAAGGCAAAATACACCTGGTGTGTTTGGGTCGCAGAGTTTGATTCAGCAGCTCAGGGGTCAGAAAATGAGGTGACAGTAAATGGAAAATATGTTTGCTTATTATGGAATCTGTTTTTGTTGTTTATCTGAAAAGCAGAGGCATAATTTTGCTAGAATGTAGAATAAATTCTGTCCTTTCTTATATTCAGAATCATATTCGGAATTGTTATATCACTGTGTAGATATATTCGCATTATAATAATATTTACTGCCTGTCCCCTAAATTCTTGATGTTAAAATTGTGTAAAAACTAGTTTGTTAAAACAAAAAAACAAAAAAAAAACCTAGTTTGTTTGGCTTTGTATCAAGGAGGACATTTTTATGCTTACCGATAAGATACTTACATTTATAGTGATTTTTCTGAGGACCTACAGTGTCTTCTATTGGCTTTTGAATCTCAAAGAGTGCTTAAAACGGTGACTATAAATATGCCTAACTTTGTTACTCTAACTCCAGTTTGGCAGAGATGAGAACTGTATTAACCAGAGTATCAGGTAATCTGAGATTCACTGATATTGTGGACAAAAAAAATTTTGGTTTATTTGTTTGCTCTTGTAAAAAGATTTTAGTTAGTTGGTCTTTGGTTCATTTTTCTGTCCAGAGTTATTTTGTTTTTATTTTCAGATTAATTATACTAATGTTACTATCTAATATTACAAAATAATTTGAAACCTTGAAGAATTTTTTATCTTGTTTCATAAAGGAGTAATTGAGAAATAAAAAGGTGGAAACGTGAAAATTTCTGGGTCCTGCGTAATAAGTATAGGGCAATATTACTTTACATTCACAAGTAGGAATGTTTACTTGATTAATTGCATACTCCTTGGGCACTTTCAAAGAAAGAAAGCTAATGCTAAATTGTGGGCCAGTTTAAAAATGCTAGTTTAATGGTGATGTGAGTATAACATAGCTTTCTGAATTCAGGAATTCCTGTAGCGCCTGTCGTTGTTCCTCAGTGGGGGCACTGCTTGCATTTTGGTAGGATGGCACTGTTGTTCTGGACTGTCCTGCTGCACATTGTTTCCTTACCTGGCTGCAACCTACTACATGCTAGTAGAACTCCCTAGTCATTGTGACAGCCAAAATTGTCCTTGTAGACGTCTAAACGGGAAAACTATTGACTCCACTAAAATTTCAGAAGGATATGAAGAATGGAGCCATTCATGTAAGCCTCCCCAGATGTTTTGACATGTAGAAAATTCGTGCTTCCAGGTAAAGTATAATTGATGTAGAGCAATTTTGTCCCTTGGAAATACCTAACAACATTCCGAGTGACAGCCTGTGAAACGTTGACAGAGTTGATTCAGGCAGCTTGTGTTTACTGACCTCATTTTTTCAGAAATATGAAACAAAGGATTAGTTATATTTTCTAAACCTGCTGGTACCTTTTTAATAAGTATCTGTGAAGTGAGGAGTCTTGCCCTTTTGTGGCAATTGATGATAAAACTAAGAATTTTTATTTCTATCAATAGAACTTTTAGATATGTAATAAATATTTATTGACTTGTAACATTTCCCCTAAAATAAGTTAGGACAGAATTATCCATACAAATCTCAGAAGATAGCTTGGCTGTCTTACTGAATTTGTTTTACGTTACCCTTCTAACTGAGGCGGTAAATCCACTATAAATGTAAGATTAGACATAAAAGCTAGTTACTTTAGTGTTGGTATTAAACCCAGAGAGCAATAAATTGCAGCCACACTTCATACTGTGTATAAAGCTCAAAGGTTTTACAGGCTGACTCCACTTGCTTTTTGTTTTGTTTCTTGGGGCACTATTCAGCAAATTCCATTTAGTTCAGATCTCAATTTATCTAAACAAAGTGGTTATCACTACAAAGCAAAACAAGATTCAAAAATGAGATGTTGGTGATTATTTTATTCTGTATTAATTGATTTGGGAATCAGTCTTTCATGTATGTATCTTTATTTTTTTAAAGTTATTTTATATAGTAAAACTGTTGGAATAGGAGTCATGTAAATGAACTATTCAGTGATACTGAAAAATTACATCAGAAGCTTGAATATTATTTGTGGGCTTTTATAATGTTTTTGTAAAAGCAACACATGGATGTCAATGCTTAGTTTTTTCCTTATATGTTAGTTCATACAATTTGGTGCTTAGAGATGAAGTTTACATTTGTTATTCCTATAGGAACCAAAGTGGAGCTCTGTTTCTTTCTTGATGGAGGCTGTAGTTTTCACTTTATTTATTTAAGGCTTATAACAAGGGATGCTGTTATCTCAGCAGGGGAGAACAATTAACCAATTCATTTACTAGATCCTGTTTACACTTACTTTTAATTTTGAAATTTGCTTGAAATAAAGTCTTCTGCTCTTGATATGGCTATTAACTCTTATCAGCAGTGGATAATATTTTTGTGTTTAAGAAACTGAGTATTTTTATGCTGGCAAAGAGTAAGGCCTTGTATAAACTAACAAATACTCTTCATGATATAATAGAATGTGTAAATCATTCTACTAAATGAATTTTTAAAAATTTTACAGTGTATTTATTGACTAAATGAATTCTTTAATGTTCTTTTATTTTGGATATTTTTATATTTTATATTTTTATAAATTTTTATATTTACATCTTTATATTTTATGACTTTTAATATTTTAGCCATTAAGTTAAGGTCACATTTTATAAAGCCTTAGTGCTTATTAATTAAACATGTAGCGCTCATTTGATAACTTAGGCATATGGTATTGTTTCAAAATAACTTTACAAGTTATATAAGAATTTCCAAAGGTTTTGTTTACGTAGAACAAATTGGAAATCATTAAGTTCAAATTTAAGAAGTTAATTCAGTTTTATTTGTTACCCAGTGATATGTATATACCTGTGACCTAGGAATCCAAGACTTGGAATCAAGACCTGTAATTTTTTTTTTTTTTAAGCACTAACACAGCAATAAATATATTATGTTTAAATAGTCTAAATACAGCAAGTTAAAGAAAGATTGGTGGAGTAGATAAACATATTCAACAATATTCTGTCTACAAGAAACTTACTTCAAATACACTGAACTAGTTAGTTTTAAGGTAAAGGATATAAATATATATCATGAACACATTAATCAAAGAAAACAGTGAGATTGGCCATATTAATATCAGAAAAAGTAACCTTCAAAGGAAAGAAAATTAATAGAAACAAAGAGGACCGTTACATAAAAGGACCAATCTTCCAGGAAGGCATAACAATCTTTTTTTTTTTTTTTTTTTTTTTTTTTTGGGCCGCGGGCCCTCCCCACTATCTTTCCATTTATATGTGTCATTTTTTTTTTTTTTTCGGTACGCGGGCCTCTCACCGCCGTGGCCTCTCCCATTGCGGAGCACAGGCTCCGGAAGCGCAGGCCCAGCGGCCATGGCTCACGGGCCCAGCCGCTCCGCGGCATGCAGGATCCCCCCAGAACAGGGCACGAACCCGCGTCCCCCGCATCGGCAGGCGGACTCCCAACCACTGCGCCATCAGGGAAGCCCAAGGCATAACAATCTTAAATGCATAAACACAAAACAACAAAACTTCAAAATGCATGAAGCAAAAACTGATAGAGATGAAAGGAGAAATAGATAAATACAAAATTATAGTTGGAGATTTTAGTACCCATCTGTCAGCACCTGATAGAACTTATAGACAGAAAATCAACAATGATATGGAACTCAATGACACCATCAACCAATAAAATCTAATCAAAACATGTAGAATACTACACCCCAAAACACAGAATACACATTCTTTTTAAACGTCTGTGGAACATATACAATGATATTCTATATCCTGGGCCATAAAACAAACTTCAATACATTTTGAACATTGACCTAATACAGAATAGGTTATCTTAATATAATGAAGTCACATTAGAACTCAGTAGCAGAAAACAGCAGAGAAATCTCAAAATCCTTGGAAATTATACAACACATTTCTAAATAATGCATGAAGACCTGTAATTTTTCATGTAGTGCTTTATTTGTAGAAGTAACATTAGATTTAAGATAGTTAAGATAGTTAGATTAATTAAAAGTATGCTTGGATGATTATACTTAAAATTTAGAGACTGGCTAGACTATAGTCAGGTTGTTTTTTTTTCTATTCAACATTTATTTCTTGCTTTTAAATATTTTAGGTTGTTGCTCAAATGATGTGGTTGATGGATCATATTTTTAAGTACACAAACTTTGGAATTGTTTCTCTAATTCACGGAGACTTCTTTATCAGACAGGTAAGTAATGAGCATTTTTTTCCAATCAGATTGATAGCCTGATCAATCTGATTCTTTATTGTAAAAAGAGGCATCACAAAACCAGTTATAATAGATAGAGCCAGCTCTAGTTATCTGAGGGAGCTGGGAATCTTTTTTCCTAAAACATTTATTTCAGTCTGAATTTGAGTATGCATAAACATTAAAATGCAAATATTTTAATCTCTACCCTCCTCGTTTCTAAACAGCTTACCAAGCGCCTGCCACATTCTCAGCTCTTCTGCTTCTTAGCTGTGTGAATTGGGCAAGTTATTTAACCTCTCAAGGTTTCCTCATTTTTCAAATGAGAATAATGGGTACTCCTCTCACAGAGTTGCTGTGTGGATTACATGAAGTAATACGTGTTACACGCTCAGAACAGTCCCTGCTACTTTCATCAACTTCATCATGACTACCACTATCATCATCTATATTATCACTGTTATTTTTATTTACAAGTCACCGTTATATGATACAGAAGGTATCTGTGTTAGCAGTTGGGAGATTGTTAAATAAATAAGATTACCAGTTGGGAGAATATTAAATAAATAAATAAGAGGAAATGTTTTGCGAATTCGTAGTATGAAAAGTGAGTACGTCAAATTTCTGTAAATCCAGAAAAACCTTAGAGGAGAAGATGATATGTGGCATACATGTAAAGAATGAGTACAGGTTTGATGGAGGAGGGCGAATTGGGAATGGGTCGTAAGCATTAGGGATAGTTTAGTATAGGAAAAAGAATAATACCCTCTTGTCAAGTCAGCATACAGGGACTTCCCTGGCGGTCCAGTGGTTAGATTCCGCGCTTCCAACGCAGGGGCTGCGGGTTCAGTCCCTGCTTGGGGAACTAAGATCCCACGTGCCCCGCGGCATGGCAAAAAAATAAATAAAAGAAGAAGTCAGCACTACATTATAGTGTTTCCCTGATATGCTACGTGCTTTATTTTCTCAAAAATGGATAACCAAAATATGATATCAAGAGTTTTTATGTATGATAATGCTACACTTATCTGGTGTTTATATATTTAGCCACTTCACCCTGGATGGTGCAGTACCTTACACGTAGTAATCACATAATGAATTGCTGGTGAATCTAATTAAGCCTCTTCTGAGCATCACAAATTCAGAAATAAGCTAGAAGTGTGTAGAAAAACTTCTAAACTCTATGAAAATAGGTCTCCCCAAACACATATATTATACTTTGCTCCAGACAGTTTTTTTAATATTTATTTATTTATTTGGCTGCACCAGGTCTTAGTTACAGCACAGGGGATCTTTGTTCTGGCATGAGTACTCTTAGTTGTGGCATGCGTGTGGGATCTAGTTCCCTGACCAGGGATCGAATCCAGGGCGCCCTGCACTGGGAGCACAGAGTCTTAACCACTGGACCATCAGGGAAGTCCCCTCCAGGCAGTTTTATATACAAAACATATTTTTGTTTTTCATATTCTGTGTAATTGTCTAGTTTTTTCTGGAAACACCCTTGGTTTTTCTGAGCAGAGAGATGGAAAAAAGCAGGCACTGGAACCCCAGGAAGAATTGGGAATGGGGATTGGCCACAACAAGGTTGAGACAAAATAAACAGTGATCAGAACAACTTAAGGAAGAAACTAACCTAATATCTTAGAGTGTCACTGGAGGCGAAGACAGGAGAGATTTACAAATTCATTTCTGAAGAGCAAAAAATTTTTTCCCTGTTAGATAGTAATAAAAATCTATAACATGGGGGAAGGGGAGAGAAAAAAAGTATTAATGTTAAAGAAAATCTCTTGGGACTTTGCTGCTAAACATTTTTGACAAGATATTTCCAAGAATATTAAAAATATTTTACATGTACTCTAGGGAACTTAAAAGTAAAGCTTAATTATAATCAATTCAATTCCGTAAATTAGCTAAGAAAATGGTTACTTAGTTTGCATTTAGAATAATTTAGTCTAAAGACTGAAAGTGTATAGATTATTTTGGGGAGCTTCTGTAATTGTGTTGGCTGGAAAATTATTAGCGAATTGATCATACTGAAAGGAAGAACCTTCTTATATTTAGTCATGGGTTTTGGGCTTTCCTAAAAATGCTTCTAGGTTCCTCTTTTCGGTCTCCAAGTTATCCTCTTTCCTCTCTTTCC